GTTCTATAAGAACTTCCTCAGGGACCACAATTAAAAACAATAACGATGTATCAATGTACAATACATGAACATATCCTATACAAATCCCCCCTCCCTGTGTCCTTAAATAGGGCTAATCCCTAAAGTCTATTGGTGGATCCAGTGGGTGTGTAAACCCTCCTTAATTCTAATTGGAGGAGAGATCTTCCTGTGGCAGCTGTTTTTCGTTCATCCATTCTCCATAATTTAAAATTTGCGCCTTTTTCGGCAAATACCGGAAGTGGTCATAATTTGCCGAAACCGGAAGTGACGTCGCGGGAATGTCTGCGTTCCACATGCGTTCCACCAGTAGCGTCTCCATGACAACCAGGCGCGATCAAGTCATTCAGAGGTCAAATGAAACCAGGACAAATAAAAAGCCCCATTCTGCTAGAGAGAAAACTGTTAAACATGTATAATATATTCAACCATTATTTATATATATATATATCTATTGGGTGTCACCCTCCTCATTAATCCTATCACACAAAATAGTGTTAATCTCCATATTATACCCAGTGATCATAATACCTCAATATATTATAAGCCAAAGGCTTCATATTATAAAGTGATCATATTTCTTATGTATATTATTTGATATTTTTTTTTTTTTTATATATAACTTTATACATTGTTAATAAAAAATGGACACCAAATCAATTCATCACCATCTCAGTTAATCTTCAATTTATCGTATTATTATTTGTGCTCCCCATAGAAATCTTTGGAACAACCTATTAAACACATTAAGGTAGTCCATTATTATGATTACAAAAAGAAATAGTGAATTGTGACTTAGGAAATAAAGTGCATGGAATGACTATTCCCATACAAACTTTATTTAGTGAATCTACCACATTTAATTTATGCCAGCTCTGAAGATCTTTAGAGCAAACCCATTATTTATATTAGAATGATCAATTATTATATTTTTATTATAGTTTTTTGTAACCTTTGATCATATAAAACAATAGATCATAACATACAAAATAAAAGATAAAAATAAAAAATATACAATAACTGCTCAACATTTAATATATATATAAATCCTCTCTCCAAATGGGGATTAGATTTCAACTGTAGAAAAAACCCAAATTAAAGGCAAACACACATACCCTTACTATCTATTCTGAAGCTTTTAGGCCATATTAATCCTCTAATTCTCTGTAGATTTACACAGCCATATCCCGAATCTCCTTCGTTTTGGTTTATACTATATATGATATAGGTCGCTTGTTTGGGTAACGACCTAGGGAGGCTGTCATACATTTTTATAAGCTAAGTATTATTGCTTTTTATATTATTTATTGTTTGTATATTGTTTAGGATATACTTATAAGACATTGAGCAGTTAGTCTGCACAATTAAATGTGAGTACCTATTTTTTTATTCTATACTCCTGGTATCTTTTATACTGTGAGCACTATTGCTGTCTCTTTTATATCTTTTATGCTCTTCATACTGATGATACATCTGCCTACCTACACCATCTCACGTATCATATAAGTGGGGATTGTACCACTATATGCCATTCAGACTAGAGCTGGGTCAAGCTCTATCAAGTAGGGGCATTGACATTCTATTTACTTTTATGTAATTCTGGGATTTTCTGAATCATTAGTTTTCTCTTTCTGTTGCATATATGGCTGCCAAGAATACTCTGATCTGACCCCATTCCAGAGGAACTACCCTGACTCTTTGAGGTTTTATCTTCCAGCAAGTTTTACCATTTGGATTCACACTTGGACTTATATTTGATCATTCTTTTGCTTTTGCTTTTTGTCCTCCTCTATATATGGCTTTTACATATATAAATATATATATATATATATATATATATATATATATATATATATATATATATATTTATTTATTTATTAATTTATTTATTTTATATATATATATATATATATATATATATATATATATATATATGTGTGTGTTATAATATCTGGCACAACCTTTATCCCCCCTGTTTGACTCATCTGTTTATAAGGCTTAGAGGGGCCTCATGTTTTAAGGTGTGTCGCCTACTTTCATTTTTTGTATTTTTATATATATCTTTTAGTTCGGTATATTAGCGCTGATCCTTTTTTTTGTAATCCTTTTGTCTATATTAACAGTTATGTCCAACTGGCATCAGAGAAAGTAACCATTGTCGTTCATTTCATGTCCTGTCAAATGTGTATGTCTATGTTTATTCATTTCCAGAATGAGACTTTTAATTTCATATGTGGAAAAGAAACTGCATTTGCACAAAGCACATTTCACGGTCAGTGTGAGGTGGTCCATATACATAAATCCATAGCATATGAACTGTACATTAGCTGGTACTGAATAATGAAGTGCAATATATTGACCCTATAATATATATACATGGATATAAATGTTAAATATGAGACTTGTCATGCTGTGCATTCATAAAAAAATAATATTGTTAATAGTGCATGTGAATAAAATAAATCTAAACTCTTTCCTGCATACTTACCTGTGAAAAATGCACATTTATTATTGTTATACCTGCATTTTTCAATTAAATGTAAAATGATTTTATCAATTTAGCCTAACCATATATTTTATTTGAATTAATTTAGATTCTATTACAGCTATTCTGCTTACTATCGCATCCCTTCATTGTAAAATATATTCTCCCTTAATGCTACCCATAGCTTATTTTTGATTATGTGTCAAAGTGGATATTCTGTGGTGCATGAATTCTGCAAGTGTTCTTAATTATCTATCCACACATCTGTTAAATATATCTTCGACAGATACTTTTACTATGTTCTCTATTAATGTTGATTTATTTTTTAAATGTCTGTGTGAAAAATTAATGGAATAATCTTTACCTACCAAAGATTGCAATGTATATTTTGCATACTGAACAATATATCTTTTGTTTGGTACTGTTTTGTACCAGCTTCATATTTCTTTTACATTTGATGCCAATAATTTATGCAATTACCTGTTTTCAACAAAATATACATCCAGGATTATATCCTGTAGGCTAGGATTTAATTCTGATGTCTTAAATAAGTATTTATTTATTTATTTTTTCGTGTTGGCTGGATTTAATTTCAGCCAAAATTCAAGCAGCCAAACCTGATAAATGGTTGTTCAGCTTGAGGGGAAATAAAAGCAGATAAATAAGCATTGAAAGTCCATTTATCAGCATTTTTGTTAACTAAACCTTTTTGTTAAAAAGAAATTCAATAGAAGCATGTGGGGGGCTGGACCCAGCACTAACTGAAGTGGAAACTTTTTTTCTGCTTCTTCGTGTAGCATGTTAGAAAACAGGCATTTTCATCCATTTGCACCAGAGCTCTGCACATCAAAGTGGCATTAGGACACTACTGTTATGGTGACCATCTCGGGGATAACTGTTTTGGGTCAGATTAGCTCAGAGTTTGGAGATTTTCACCTGAGGCCTAAATTCCATCAATACTTCATATGTGTGCCTACTAGCCTATATAGGTGTGAATATTGATGGTCCCGCAGGCTTTGCCCTCTGGCTGAGGGTCAGCACAATGACATTGGAGCCATGCTCCTTCAACCTACTCCCTCTAAAACTTAATCGTCTTCTGGAGCCTGTATCTCCTAGACTGAGGAAAGTTATGGGGATATAGAGAAAATACAACTGCTGCGAGGAAGCGGACATTCCTTGGATGACGATGACAGACCTTTAACTTAAAGGTACATAAAGCACTATTTACAGAATATCAAGAAGATGTTTGCGAGTGAGCTGACCATAATTAAGGAAGCACTTCATCACAGGCATAGTTAAGGCCACTGATGAAGACATATCTGACATTCACCAGAGTATAGCCACTGCAGCTGACATGGTGAAGCAGTAACAGGGACAAATCCTTAAATTCAATACCGCACTCAAAAAATGTGACCTTATGTAAAAAGAGGCTAAAAGTCACTTTATCAATATGCAAAAAAAGGAACTCGATTTATTATACACTAATTATACACACCAATTCATGAGTAATATACAAATCACTGTAGTATTTTGATGATAACCTTATGAATTCATCCACTTAACAAAATTCATGGTATATACATCCCAGATTATATACAGCTATTTAGTCATAATATTGTAAAGCACTACAGAATCTGTTTCCCTATATAAATGGCAATAATAATAATAAATAATAATAATAAACACTCTATATGTGGAGTTTGATAGTTCATACATGTTCAGATGGATCCACCACTCAATGGTTCTCTTTAATTAGAAAATATATATATATATATATATATATACAAAACAGAAAAAAATTGAATAAATTGAAAAAATGAAAAAAAATTGAAAAAAAAGGCAAAAAAGAAAAAGAAAAAAATTATAGTTGAACGTTATATATATATATATATATATATATATATATATACATGAGAGAGAGAGAAAGAGAGAGAAAAAGAGGTTGGTTGGATCTCACCAATTCAGGATTTCCACCCTGGTCTTTAGATTATCCAATAGAAATAGGATGTCCAATGGTTGTTAGATAGAGTATAACACCAGAGTCCCTTGATCTGGAAACAAGGAAAAACTCCTATAATGGATGTTTGCAATGTCAAATCTCCTCTTGTTACTGGGCTGTGCTGGGCATGTATAACCGCTTAGCTGCTCTTACTCGCGTCTTGCGCCGTGTGTAACTGCTGTGAGAGCAGCGAGTGATTTTTATTTTTTTTGCTATTTTTTTCATTTTTTTCAATTTTTCATTTTTTCAATTTATTCCATTTTTTTCTGTTTTGTGTGTGTGTATATATGTATGTGTGTATATATATGTATATATATATATATATATATATATATACAGTTGCAAGAAAAAGTATGTGAACCCTTTGGAATGATATGGATTTCTGCACAAATTGGTCATAAAATGTGATCTGATCATCATCTAAGTCACAACAATAGACAATCACAGTCTGCTTAAACTAATAACACACAAAGAATGAAATGTTGCCATGTTTTTATTGAACACACCATGTAAACATTCACAGTGCAGGTGGAAAAAGTATGTGAACCCCTAGACTAATGACATCTCCAAGAGCTAATTGGAGTGAGATGTCAGCCAACTGGAGTCCAATCAATGAGATGAGATTGGAGGTGTTGGTTACAGCTGCCCTGCCCTATAAAAAACACACACCAGTTCTGGGTTTGCTTTTCACAAGAAGCATTGCCTGATGTGAATGATGCCTCGCACAAAAGAGCTCTCAGAAGACCTACAATTAAGAATTTGTTACAAACTGCTATTTGTAACTGGCCCTTTAAATGGCAAATTGCGGGGGCGTGTCCTGGCGGCGGTACTGAGCGGTCGCATGTGCTGAGCGCTCCGCTCCGACGGCACCCACAGAGGAGTAATTTGGCGGCTAGCCACGAAAAAACGGGGCACCATATACCCCAACGAGCATGTCGCAAAGCAAGGGGAAAAGGCAGGCGGAAAAAACGGACCGGAGTGCATTTTTTGCCGCACGGACACACCAGGGGAGACAGGCCTTGATGCAGGATGAGGGCCAAGATGGCGCCGAGGAGGCTGGTGAATCACTGCACACAGACACAGTGGCAGCTGGCCCCCTCACACAAGAGGTGATGCAGACACTGCTAGAACAAATGTCTGCAAGATTGGAGAATAGCTTCAAATCCACAATTGGAGCACTACATGATGACCTAAAAGAACTGGAGGTGAGAACTGCTGGGACTGAAGTTAAAGTGGCAGAGCTAGAGGAGGCAAGCAGGGGGATGGAAGAAGAAATGGCAGGGATACAAAACCGTATGCAGCAGTATGAGATAAAGCTGGCAGACATTGAGGACAGAGCTCGCCACAACAACCTGCGAATTCGCGGAGTGAGCGAGGAGGTGGGACCCGCAGAGCTGGCGGCCTATCTGACAAATCTGCTGAAAGCGCTGGCGCCAGACATACCGCTAGACCTGCTGCTCATGGACAGGTACCATCGAACCGCCAAACCCAGTTTTCTACCTCCAGACACCCCACGAGACATCCTCATCAGAATGCACTACTACCATGTGAAAGAATTAGTGCTACAAGCAAGCAGAGCGAAGAAGACGCTTCCTGAACCGCATGGGGGACTGTTAGTGTTTGCAGACATATCAACATACACGTTGAAACGAAGGAGAGAATTTAGAGAAGTCACAGAACAACTCCGACGCCACAAGCTGCCATATCGCTGGGGATACCCGGTGAAGATCCTGGTGTCCAGAGGAGGGAAAGTGTCAGCTATCAACACGCCAGAAGAAGGAGCCCTACTGCTACAAAGATGGGGTCTCACTGAACCAAACCAGCAACGAAGCCCAAAGAGGACGCAAACCGCCTCCAAAGACTGGAGAAAGTCCAAGAGACTGACATAAAAGACTACACCACAATTAACTCAGATATACGAGCGTCCGCAGGAGCTGGTTGTGTGGCCGGTCCTGATAACTGGACCATGAAGTCAGCTGGGGGTATCGTATAATTGTTATAACCTATGTTGAATGTTAATGTCATACCTAGACATGTTAGGCATGTGTAGAAATTGAGGGAAAAAAAAAAAATTATTATATATCTATATACTTTAATTGTAAAAAAAAAAAAAAAAAAAAAAAATTAAAATAATATTATATATCTATATACTTTAATTATATACAGGCATTTATACCTATGTGGGTATGCAGGTCTCACAACGCTTCACTGTACCATACAGGGGGGCATTAATACCCGGCTAAGCGCCATTACTCACAGACCACTTAGCAAGCCATAGAGTGGGTCGACTCGGGGTCCACACCCCACAGGAAGGAAGTTCGGACTTCCCCCTCCACAGGTACCAGGAGTACCTAGGCCGAGAATGGCACACCTGTTTATTGTGTATATGTTTTATATGTTTTCCCAGTTATTACCTTGTCCCACCCCCACCCCGGTCTCGTGGAGACTTGCCACCCCATGTCCAGCCCCCAATACCTACAGGGAGTCCACACAGCTGATCCAACACACTGGGCCTCAGTCCCTGCAAAGGTACCCCAGCCCACCTACCCATCCCTAACCCAGCGAGTGAATTATGCCCGATTCCTACCCTCACTTCAGGGAAGGTCGCTCGACTTGATGCTGCTGGGACGAGCGAACCCCCCGCACTGGTCTTTAATTCCACGGATGACCCTTATAAAAGCCATTGGGTATAAACCCCCATGAAAATTTTCTCTCTCAATGTAAGAGGGTTAAACCTACCGGTTAAGAGACACCAGCTATATAGAGAACTCAAGAGGACAGATGCGGACGTTATCTGTCTCCAAGAGACACACTACAGAACTGACGGTTATATCCCACCGACGACTTCGGACTACCCACACCAATACCACGCGACGTCCCCCACAAAGTCCAAAGGGACATCTATACTAATCTCTAAGCAAGTAGCATTTACTATGATCTCTGTAGAGGTAGACACCAATGGGAGATACATAATACTGAAATGCTCAATTAACAACATGATGTATACAATCACCAATATATACGCACCCAATACATTACAAGGAACGTTTCTGAGACAGGTGCTACAGAGAACTGAATCGATCCGCGAAGGAGTGTCAGTTATCTGTGGAGACTTTAATCATGTTTGGGACCCAAAACTGGACACTAACACTTCCCAACACAGCCCACGATATAAAATACTGCATAGACAGTGCAAAAAGCTACAGAAGATCCTCTCCCTACACCACTATTATGATACCTGGCGGATTTCCCACGCTTTGGAGCGTACGTACACTCACTTCTCCCACGTACATAACACATACTCGAGGATAGATGGGTTTCTCATACATGGCCAAAGCCTAAACCAAATCACAGACTGTGTCATAGGACAGATTACATGGTCGGACCACGCACCGGTTACACTGTCAGTAAGAGACCAATATGACTATAAACACCGCAGCCCATGGAGGCTGAATGCCTCCCTGTTGAATGATCCGTCATTCAAGAAAGAGGTAGAGGAGACTTTGACCAACTACTTCACTGAGAACGCTACCCCAGATATATCCCAGGGCACCCTATGGGCGGCACATAAATCTGTAGTCAGGGGTATCTTTATCAGGAGGGCGTCCTATTTACGTAGAAAATCCTCGGCCCAGACCACGCAATGGCAGAAGGAATTGTATCAATTAAACACACAAAACCAAATCTCCCCTTCTGCTGAGCTAAAATTACAAATCACCACTATTATAAACAAGCTACACCAAAAAGCAATAGAACAAACAGGATATATGCTACAGAGGTTGAAAATTAATCAATACACACAAGGGAACAAAGCTAGTAGACTATTAGCTAGGAGACTGCAAGAACGAAGGGCGAGCCAGAAAATAGCTTTTCTTATATCCCATACGGGAGAGAAGAAAATGATACCCAGAGACATATGCAATGAATTTGCAAACTATTACGCCGACTTGTACAACATCAACAAACATGACACCACATTCCAGCCCATGGCGGAACACATAAATAAGTACTTGGACACGATTGATCTCCCAAGAATCACGACCCAACAGGCGACCGATCTCATTAGACCCATCACAGAGGAAGAACTCCATACCATAATAAAACAGCTACCAAACGGCAAAGCCCCAGGCCCGGATGGACTTGACAATGCATACTACAAACAATTCCACCACATATTGACACCCCACCTGGTGCGCACATTCACAGAGGCGACGGCTGTACAGAAATTACCACCAGACACGCTCTTGGCCCACATCATAACGTTACAGAAACCAGGGAAGCCTCCCACCATCCCACAAAATTTCAGACCCATATCCCTGCTTAACACCGACGCGAAAATATTTGCCAAACTATATGCGATGAGATTGAGCAATCTCCTACCTCAGATAATCCACAAAGACCAAGTTGGGTTTGTGTTAGGGAGACAGGGAGCGGACAACACACGCAAGGTCCTGAATATACTGCACAGTTTACCCAAACTACACAAGGGGGGAGGGATTGTCATCTCCCTAGATGCCGAAAAGGCATTTGACCGCCTGCACTGGGGGTTCCTGGAGGCAGTCCTGACAAAATTTGGAATACCAGGAGAATTTAGAGCCGCGGTCAAAGCGTTATATAGCGCTCCGACAGCCCAGGTACTTAACGCAGGTTTTCTTTCTAACCCGTTTAGTATCTCAAACGGCACGAGACAGGGATGTCCCCTGTCTCCCTTGTTATACGTTCTGGCCTTAGAGCCACTGGCAATAAAGATTAGGCAACATGACTCTATCCACGGGGTACAGATTGGGGAAAAGGAATATAAAGCCAACTTATTCGCGGATGACGTGCTCCTGACCCTAACACAACCACTGATTTCACTGCCAAACCTACTGACTGTCATAAAAGAATATGGAGACAGCTCCTATTACAAACTAAATGTGACAAAAACTCAGGCCATGGGGATTGGGATGTCTGATGCCGTCCTACAGGTATTGCGGGAAAAGTTCGTAATGGACTGGAGGACGGACAGCGTCTCTTTCCTGGGACTTCAATTAACAAAGACAATGGGGGGACTATTTAAGGCCAACTACGAAGCCCTACAAAAAGAGATAGAGGCCAGTTTGGCCTCATGGGGAGATAAATACCTCTCCTGGCTGGGCAGGATGGCAGCATTTAAAATGTCTATCCTCCCCAAATTACAATACTTATTTCGAACTCTGCAAATCAATCTTCCAACCTCCTACTTAACCAAAACACAGGCGATACTTACTAAATTCGTATGGGCACGTAAACGAGTGAGAATAGCTGCCAAACACCTGTATAGACCCACTCACCAAGGGGGTCTAGCCCTACCAAATATCAAAATCTATTATCAGGCGTCGTTACTAGCCCCAGTGCTAGGGTTCCAATCCCCAACACAGGTCCCGCAATGGCTGGAAATAGAAAACCATTGGCTTCAAGGGACGGACCTCCGCAGCTTGTTGTGGGTACCTAAAACACTACGCTCCCACCAACCCAATATATTACCCACCACGAAAACATTACTGAGGACTTGGGACAGAACACACAAATCACTGCTCTCTGCGACACCGTGGTCACCGGCAACACCTCTATCATGCTTACATGTAGCAAACAACACATTTGACCATAGGGAATGGACGAGGAGAGGCTGCACACATGTGAGGGACTTACTGGAAGAACAACAGATAGTCCCATTCCCCATCATTAAAGAGAGATTCGAACTGCCCCCCAGATCGATATTCCCGTATCTTCAACTAAAATCCATGCTAGGGGCCCAAAAGTCCACAGTAGAGGGGGAGACCACACTCACGGAGTTTGAAAGGACTTGTTTAAACCCAAAGCAGAAGAGGGGCCTGATTTCCCTGTGCTACACACTCCTAAATAGAGGCGATCCCGTACACAAAGACAGATTTAGTACAGCGTGGCAGGCAGACATTGGGAAGCACTTCGAGGACACCCAATGGAGACGCGCCACCACGGCACACAAAGGAAGGACCACATGCACGTCCCATCTAGAATTAATGCGCAAGGTATATTACAGGTGGTACATGGTGCCAGTAAAACTGGCAAAAATTTACCCAGGAACCTCAGCCGAGTGCTGGAGATGTGGGGAACCAGAAGGTTCGATGTATCACATATGGTGGACGTGTGAAACACTTAGACCTTATTGGGAGATGGTTGAAAGGTTACTTAATGAGATACTAGAGGATAATATTACACTCACCCCAGAAATGGGCCTACTGTTCATGAACATAGATAGATTCCAGGGCAGTGAGACAATTCTAGTCTTTCACATCCTAATAGCGACACTGACTCTTATAGCCAGAGAATGGAAGTCAGACAAGGCACCGACGAAAATAGCCCTAACGAGACAGATCTCCACCAATTTACACTACGAACTCACAGCCAGGAAAAATTCAGGTAACAAGCGCAAGTTTGAGGAAGCGTACAGTAGGTGGGAGGACAAAACCGCGCTCCAGGGGATAGGAGACAGAGACGGAGACTAGCCCACTGTCACAGACCCAGCCCGACATGTAGAATTTACATAGCAAGCGTACAAGAATCCCTCAAGACAGAGGGGAGCCCAGGGACTTGGAACCCCAGGGGAAGAGCGAGAACAGACAGGAATCACCGGAAACACCAGAGAAGGGCAGGGAAACGATATGAATATAGCGAGTATAGAATAGAGCAAAACCGGTAGGGAAAGAGGGCATATCACAGTCTTTCCCCTCCCTAAACCCCCCCCCCACAGCCCACTTCCTCCCCCCCCTACGCAGGGAACGGCAAGCTAGTTCAAGGGCAAACTTCCAGAGAGTACAAGAGGTCGCTTCAGGGAAACCTAAACAGAGATGATAGATAGCGGGGCGACTAAGCAGGCCCCTAAGCAGAGACAGGAGGACGTGGCGAATGCAGACAAAGGGCGGGCTAGCCCGCTGTGAAACAGAGAAATGTAGGCGAAGTCACATAGGAAGCTACATAAGATACTACATGTGATGCTGCATATGATGTTATACACGATGTTATGTACTATGTTAAACTGGAAGTCATGTAAAACGAGATGTGGGATGTTCCCTCCCCCCCCCCCTTTCTTCCTTCTGTATCCCAAGTTTGCTTCGTAAGTGAAAATAAAAATTGTCAAATTGAAAAAATAAATGGCAAATTGCCCTGCTTCCCTGGGTTGTGGAGAAGCCTATTTGCCAGCCTCCTTCCACATGACTATGGCCCCTGGGAGATTGTGAGAACTTATGCACCTTAATTGAGTGTGTATGGCCATTTAAGACAGCCAGTGGGCATATTGGGGCTTATGGACTCTTTATGGGACTGGTACTGGCCCTTTAAACACCTTTTGGGACATCAGGAAGATTGGGACACTGCCCCTTTAAGACGGTGTCCCCAGACTTGTTTGGGACACTGCCCCTTTAAGACAGTGTCCCCTGTGTCCCCAGACCTGGTTCAAACCCTTTGTGCCTGGCTATTTCCCACTTGGTTCAGTAAATGGGGCTTACTGAACCAAGTACCACACAGGCAGACCACCCAGAAGTGGAAGTGTGCCGGCAATTTACCTCCCAGAAGCTGCGGTTAACCGCAGCTTAATTGACAATGCTGGGTGGTCTTTGTTCGTTTGTGAACACGTGGCAGCGGCCATCTTTGTTAATGCGAACGAGGTCAGCGGTATGTGTAGCCAAATTCATGGAACTAAAATCGACTGCACATTTCCGCGAACACCGCTGAGCTCTACCTTCTCCCATACTGATTTTACAGCTGCAGAGACTAAGTCCCAATCAGCGATGGGACTTAATCGTTTTTTCAGCCTGAAATAGACCGGCCGCAAAGCCCAAATCTATGGAACTGTTTTGGGCATGAAAATGTGTCATAAAGGGACCTCCAGCTAACTTTTTAACCCTTGGATAGATTTGTCTAATTTTTGGTTATGTTTATATTTAAAGTGTGCTGATTCCAAATATGTATTTTTGGATGTGTAGTTTTAAAGTTATAGTACATGTATAAAAACTGTATTTTTCCTGCTTGTGTTAATTATGTTAAGCATTGTGTGCCATAATTAGATCACAGGCAGAGGGGAGGATTTTTGTGTGTAATTGCTGGGAGTGTTTTCTGTAATGTACGTTTATGATTGGTTGTTCTGTAAACCCCTGTGGGCGGTCCTGTATGTGTTAAACCTGCATAAAAGAAGGCCCTTTGGTGCCAAGTAAACAGATCTTCTTGACCCTCAATACGTAGCCTTGTCTCGTTATTGGAGGGAACTGCTATATCACACTGGGGATTGCTATGCTCTGCATACTCCCCTGAGCTTTTAATCACTTAGCTCTTTTAAGAGCTTGTTCCTGTTACGCTCTCCTGGAGGAGAGGTCTTCCCCACACGGTCCCGGAGGACAGAAGCTGATCCAGGGTGGAAGGAAGACGGCGAGACTCTAGTTAAGCTACGGCGGTTGTGGAGTCTGCGGTAGTTGTGGTGTCTGCTGCAGTGTTTGGAGTCCTCAGGAAGCGCTAGGAGCATCCATCAACGGAGGGTACTCAGTCGGAGTACAGGGAGCTCCGTTACAGAATTGTTGACTTGCATAAAGCTGGAAAGGGTTATAAAAGTATCTCAAAAGCCTTGCTGTTCATCAGTCCATGGTAAGACAAATTGTCTATAAATGGAGAAAGTTCAATACTGCTGCTACTCTCCCTAGGAGTGGCCATCCTGTAAAGATGACTGCAAGAGCACAGCGCAGACTGCTCAATGAGGTGAAGAAGAATCCTAGAGTGTCGGCTAAAGACTTACAAAAGTCACTGGCAAATGCTAACATCCCTGTTGGCGAATCTACAAAACGTAAAACACTAAACAAGAATGGATTTCATGGGAGGATACCACAGAGGAAGCCACTGCTGTCCAAACAAAACATTGCTGCACATTTACAGTCTGCACAAGAGCACCTGGATGTTCCACAGCAGTACTGGCAAAATATTCTGGGACAGATGAAACCAAAGTTGAGTGGTTTGTAAGAAACACACACTATGTGTGGCAAAAAAAAAGGCACAGCACACCAACATCAAAACCTCATCCCAACTGTGAAGTATGGTGGTGGGGGCATCATGGTTTGGGGCTGCTTTGCTGTGTTAGGGCCTGGACGGATTGCTATCATTGAAGGAAAAATGAATTCCCAAGTTTATCAAGACATTTTGCAGAACTTAAGGCCGTCTGTCTACCAGCTGAAGCTCAACAGAAGATGGGTGTTGCAACAGGACAATGACCCAATGCATTGAAGTAAATCAACAACAGAATGGCTTAAACAGAAGAAAATACGCCTTCTGAAGTGGCCCAGTCAGTCCTGCCCTCAACCCGATTGAGATGCTGTGGCATGAACTCAAGAAAGCGATTCACACCAGACATCCCAAGAATATTGCTGAACTGAAACAGTTCTGTAAAGAGGAATAGTCAAGAATTACTCCTGACCGTTGTGCACGTCTGATCTGCAACTACAGGAAACATTTGTTGAAGTTATTGCTGCCAAAGGAGGTTCAACCAGTTTTTAAATCCAAGGGTTCACATACTTTTTCCACCTGCACTGTGAATGTTTACATGGTGTGTTCAATAAAAACATGGCAACATTTCATTCTTTGTGTGTTATTAGTTTAAGCAGACTGTGATTTTCTATTGTTGTGACTTAGATGATGATCAGATGACATTTTATGACCAATTTGTGCAGAAATCCATATCATTCCTAGCCCACAAAATATTGGGACATACAAATAAAGAAACATTTGCGGCCTGCGGTGCCTTTCTTGCAGTCCTGATGCATGGAGAAATGCTCAACTCCTGATGCATGGAGAAAAGGCCTTCACAAGCCTCTGCTAATGTGTACTTAGTTTATACTAAGTGACCCATAGGTTGAGGAGGCTGAGGTAGCCAACACTGTTTTTATTTATATATATATATATATATATATATATATATATATTTATTTATTTATTTTTTTAATTGGGGGTAGCCCCCAAAATATTGGGGCATATAAAAAAAGACAACTCTGTTGACATTATAGTTGCGCAGGAACTTGGTTGACTCTAGAGAACCTTGGGCAAATCGCACATCCTCGTGGCGGTGACTTTGCATGTGGATGTCATCAATATCAACTTTCGATGCCAAGTTCTGCTCCTACCATGGTTACCACGGGTAACGGGGAATCAGGTTTCTATTCCGTACAAGGACCCTGAGAAACGGCTACCACATGCAAGGAAGGCAGCAGGCGCGCAAATGACCTACTCCCGACGCGGGAAGTTAGTGAAGACAAATAACAATACAGGACTCTTTAGAGGCCATGTAATTGTAATGAGTCCACTTGAAATCCTTTAACTCTGATCAATTGGAGGAAAGTCTGGTGCAGAGCCACTGACCCATGCGTGCTGAAGCTCGCAAAGTCTCATGAGGCGGTGAGCGGAAAGGCCGAAGTTACGCTGCAGCGCAGACAGGTGAGCAGCAGCAGGGTGACAATGCCAAAAGCACGCACAGCCGCTACAGTGAATGACACATCCTGACAGTGTCTGGGTCCTGGTCACCGGACTGCCCACCTCACTGTGAAACTACGAATGGATCATTAAATCTGGTACGAATCCGAACTTTGCAGTTCGGGTTCGCTCAAGTCTATTATGGATCCTTTGATCGCTACATGTATTACTTGGATAACTGGTAATTCTCAAGCTAATACAATCCGACGAGCGCTAGGGGACGGCTGCTCCGCTATTGCACCCTGCTCCCTCTTATGACGTGCTGGTGCATCTGTGCCACATCACCTCTTCCTCCAAACTGCACACGTCACTCGCATGACCTTGATTCCATGTGGGGTCTAAGACCTCGTCATCCTCCACTCCTCAACCCTGCTCTCCTTGCTGGTATGCACACTGCAGAAAGCCACAGCATTTGGCACCTGTTTAGCAGCAAAACAATTAGAATGTTTACAATTGCGCTGTAACCGCAGTATTAGATGCTTCTATTTGACTCTAAGATATGACGTGCATGCCCCAAAATGTACTATGTAGCAGATTAGCACCTGTGTTTTTCCAGCATGTAAAGTCTGCAAAGGACATATGGAAATTGTTTTAGAATTTCCTCCAGGCAACAGTTTTCCCTATAAACTGACCTCTCCGTTTGACTTGTGAGAGTATTGCCCCAGAATTACAATATTGTTGAAGTACCTCTCAGCTATTGATCACTGGTTTAAATATAGCAGCTTGTTATCTGGTAGTTTCTAGTGAAGAAAATATCAATCTGTTTTCTATCACTTAGATCTGTGTAACAAGTGTTGTAGGTGTGAAACAATATTACAAGTGACCGATGTAGTAAATTCGAATCAAAGTTACACTTCAATTTGACTCTCAGATATGAAGTGAACACCCCAAATATACTATTAAGCACCCCCCAAAAAAATGTTGACGTTTTAAAACTCCAATGTAAGCAGCAGATTAGCAGCAAAAAAATCTGAATGTTTACAAGTGCACAGTAAGCACACTATTAGACACTTCGATTTGTTTCTCAGATATGAAGAACAGGCCCCAAAATTTACTATTTAGCTTGTAAGCAGCAGAACAATTAGAATGTTTACAAGTGCGCAGAAAGCACACTATTAGACACTTCGACTTGTTTCTCAGATATGAAGAACAGGCCCCAAAATGTACTATTTAGCAGATTAGCAGCAAAACAATTAGAATGTTTACAAGTGCGCAGTAAGCGCACTATTTGACGCTTCTATTTGACTCTCAGATATGAAGTGCACCACAGGCCCCAAAATGTACTATTTAGCAGATTAGCAGCAAAACAATTAGAATGTTTACAAGTGCGCAGAAAGCACACTATTAGAAGCTTCGATTTGGCTCTCAGATATAAAGAACAGGCCCCAAAATGTACTATTTAGCAGATTAGCACACATCATCTTCCACCCACTCCTCAACCCTGCCTTGCTTGCCGGTATGCACACTGCAGAAAGCCAAAGCAGTTGGCACCTGTGTTTTTCCAGCATGTAAAGAATTTCCTCCAGGCAACAGTTTTCCCTATAAACTGACCTCTGACTCTCAGATATGAAGTGCACCCCACTAATGTACTATGAAGTGGTAGAGGTTAACACAGTAAAGGAGTTTAAGCATTTGTGGGATAGGCATAAGGCTATCCTAACTATAAGATAAGGCTAGGGACTAATGAAAGTATTTAGAAAATTGGGCAGACTAGATGGGCTGAATGGTTCTTATCTGCCGTCACATTCTATGTTTCTATGTTTCTATCCCACTAATGTACTATTTAGCACCAAAATAAAAATTACTTTTTAAAACTCCGATGTAACCGAGGTATTTGAAGCTTCTATTTGACTCTCAGATATGAAGTGCACCCCACCCCACTAATGTACTAGTTTGCAGAATTCTTTCCTAAGCTGTCCCTCACAGCGGCAGCATCCTCTCCCTACACTAATAAGACCACATGTGCGTGTGGTGCTACGCGACTCCAGCTTATATATAGAGTCTGGGTCACATACTGCACTGGCCAATCACAGCCATCCCATTAGTAGGCATGGCTGTGATGGCTTCTATGGGCACACGAGTCAAACGCTTGTTGATTGGCTGCCCTGCAGCCTTTGAAAATGCGCCATTAAATCGCCGAACACCGAACTCCAACCCGGCTCCGGGGTCCAAAAAAACCTAATGTTCGGTACGAACCCGAACTTTTCAGTTCGGGTTCGCTCAACTCTAATGTTTAATTTGAGATTAGAGAATTCACCATACTCTGTCATCAAATTCATCATAGCTGGTATGGATACAAGGGGGTTCGTTAAAGTCAGAAGAGCGTCCACAAATAAGAAGATCTTATGCTCCACTTGGCTATTCAAGATTCCCTGGGCCGTTTCTTCTTGTCTGATTAGGGGCGTTAAATTCTCCATAGCCAAAATATAAATCAAAGAAGCCAATGGACAGCCCTTCCGAGTTCCATTTTTAATATAAAAGTACTTTGACTCCATGGCCGAGCCAATGACCTTTGCTGTTGGGTTTGTGTAGAGAATCATAATACTATCTTTAAAATTGCCTGTCATTCCAAATTGTTAAACTAAATCCATAAATTGCCAGTTTAACCTATCTAATGTCTTTTCGTCATCAAGTGCCAAACAGGCTGCTTTATTTTTTTTAATTAATTCTATGGATCAGGTTCAAAACTCTGTGGATATTATCGGTAGTTCCTCTGTCTCTGACAAACCCTGCCTGATCCCCGTGAATTAAGGAGGGTATTATTTCGACGATGGGGCGATGGGAATAGATCTTAACATCTAAATGTATCAATGAGATGGGCCTGTAATTAGAAGTTTAGGGAGAATGGAGGCCTGAAGATATTCTTCAGGTAACTGATCCAGTTTTGGAAAAATGGAAAATACTCTCAATAGTAATGGAGTCACTACTGATTGAAATGTACAATAAATAAACGTGAACCTTGACTATTACCGAATTGTTACCACTGTGAACCACAACTGTTACGCTCCAAACTTTTCTTTCTGTACCCCTTCCCCTATATTTCAAAAATTCATAAAATTAATCAAAGAATTAAAAAAAATAAAAATAAACGTGAACCCCTCTGGCCCAGGTGCTTTGTTAGACTTCAAGTCTCGATTACTTCATCAATCTCACTCAAAGAAATTGGCCTGTTGAAACTGATTATCTCCTCTTTAGTTATTTTTGGAAGTTTAATTTTTGAGAGGAAAACCTTGATCTGTTGATTAGATTTATTATTTGAAGTTAAATTGTTTAAATTAGAATAATAATCTCAAAAGTCAGTAGAAATATCATGTGGTGAGAAAAGTGTATGGTTGTCTACTACAATTTGTTTAATTATTTTTTGTCTTACATTTTGATTTTAATTAATTACTTATATATTTTCCAGTTGTATTATTGCTATAAAACCATTTCTGTTTTACTCGTTGGATATTTTTATTGATTTTTTTCAATTTCCAGATTGTTAATTTGCTATCTTATTACCTTTAGTTCAGACAGCAGGTTATCATTTAATTTGTTTTTATGTTGCCTTTCGATTTCTATCAGTCTTGTAAACTGCTGTTGCAAGCTCTCACCATTATTTCTTTTAATAGAGGAACCCATTTTAATAAACAAGGGTCACATCCAAAACCTCCTCATTGTCATTTGTTTGCATGGTGCTCTGTGCTTCCTCAAACAGTACATCAAAATTCCTGTCCGACTTTAGTAAATCATCGTTTAACCTCCCATTTAGATCTTATTTTATATTGAATATTATTTTGAATAATCATTATCAATGGAGCATGGTCTGACCATGTAATTGGAACTATGCTTATACTTCCAAACAATGGTAGTGAATAGTTCCTGGTTAAAAATAGATAAAAACGCAAATAAGATTGATGAGTGTTTGAATAAAAGGTGTAATCTCTAACAGTTGGGTTTTAGCACTCTCTAACAGTCATATAGTGCGTTTTGCCATAATATGTTTTGCTTTGCAGTTTTGTAGTATCTGTGAGACATAAAAAACAAAGGAAGATAAGGGTTGCGCCACAATATAAATAAATAAAAACAATAGTATAGTCCACAAATAAATGGGTATGATTCAGTCCCAAGCGGATACAGACAAGAAATCCAAAACATGAGAGTCCACAGTGGTAATAGGGGAATTCACTGGTACATAGTGCTGGTGTAACTGGATATCTGCGTGATTCTTCTATGAGAGTGTCAGGTTGGGTTCAGCTTTGGATCTGTATGAAATAACAGAGAGGAGAAGAAATAGGGTAGCATGTTCTTAATAGGAGCTGATAAAAGAATAACATATAGTCCTACTCACGTTTTATGGAGCTGTAACTAGCTCCAGTATGAATGGCATACAGTGGTACAATCTCCACTTGCAAGGATACATGAGAGTGGTGTCTTGGTGGTGTGAGGACCATAAAATATAAAAAGATAAAAAAGGAATCACAATAGTGCTTTCTATATAAAATAATAATAGATTAAAAATAAATTAAGAACGTACTCATATGTACCAGAGCAGGTGAACTGCTGGATGGATAGGGCGTTGGTGGTATAATCTCCACCAGGGATATCTTGAGAGTAGTGCTCACTGGTGATAAAAATACAGGTGCCGGGCAGTAGAGGTCAAAATAGAATAAAATGTAAAAGAAAGAGTAAAATGGCACACTAGGGGAGTGTAGTATAAGCCAAAATACCTTTATTTTAACAGATAAAAAATGGGATAATAGGATAATAGCCACAATGTTTCGCCTCAGAGGCTTTTTGTAGTGGAGATAGTATCTGTACCAGATGAAGATGGGGTATTCCTCGCTTGACTTCTATCTATATTGGAGTTAGGGAAACAATTGAAATCACCTCCCACTATCAAAGTACCCATCAC